TGTTGCTGACCAATCTGTTGTAGAAGCATCTATATTATTCATAATAGTTTCTAGACCAGGCTTCCATTTTTTGCTTTCAGATTTGTTATTACCCAATTTATATCTGTTACTGCTTGCTCAACAAATAAATTGTATTGTCATATTCTTAGGGTCTTCTGCGTTTTGCATCTATAATTGTGTATAGTTCTAAACAACGTATCTTCATATATTTGAACATGTGACTTAAGCTCATTAGTTTTCTAGTAGCTGAGGAGAGGTGTCTGGTGGTAAGACTTTTCTTGAACAGAATATCCTGCAAGCAATGAACAGCATCGTTGATTTTAATATCTGATGCTGTAACCATTCCAGTTATAGTATGTAACATTAACCCAAAGTACTTTATATTCTGTATCAGATTTAAGTAACTTTTTTCTGCTAAAATGAACCTGAAATACTTTAGATCTTTTAATACAACCAAATCTCTTATGTGTAATAATGCTTCTCGACAAGGGTGGGTGACTCAAAAGTCATCTATATAGTTTACACAGAAGATTCTCTATGACCTTCAATGTTCTATTAGTGCCTGTATAATCTTTGAAAACACTCAACTGCTTGACTTAGTCTGAAAGATAATACTCTGTAGTGTATTAATTCAACTGTAGCCTGAAACCTAACAGCCTTTGAGTCTCTTCTTCTATTAATATATGGCGATAACTATCCTTTAGATCTAGTACAATTATCCAACAATTTTTTTCTACAATGCGCAAAAATGTTCCAAAACCTTCGAACTTGAATAGTTTCACTATTAGTGTTTTGCTTAATTGCCAAAGATCTATAATTAATATCTATTTCTTCAGCCCTGCTTTTAAACTAAAAATATAGAGCTCATTTTTAGCAAGTGTGGGGGTCTGCTTCCTGTAACTGCTACTAAAGATATGAGGTTTTTGCTATCAAAATGACCCTCTGACATTGATCATCTGATTTGTGTAAAATCAAAATAAAGCTTATGTTACACAAATTTTTGATCATCAAATTTGTCACTATTTTTAGAATATTTTGTGTAACAATATCTCGGAGAGTCAATTTGATAGCAAAAATTTTGTGATACAATAAGATCTAATAAAATCAAAAAAACAATGCAGCGAGTACAATGATTTTCTGCAGCAATAAATAGCCAATTCTATGTGTTAAAATTATAAAATCGGTGCATTACTATATATTACTGTGCATTATAATGTATGATTTCTGCGTTAGTTATAGTAAAAACTTCAAGTATTCTGTACTTATTCTTCAGATTATTTCTCGTCTTTTAGGCTTATTTATTTTCTACTTTTTGGAAGTTGTATATTTGGATTGTGTACTTATAAATCTCTTTGTGATATTTCTGTACCATATTCCTACTTTCTGCAATATTTTCATGATACTTTTGACACATTCTGTGATTACTATCTGAATTCCGTGATTCTGCAGTATTCTATAAAATGCAGAATATCATCGTCTCTGCAATGCAGTAACATATGCATCTTTTTTTACATACATATACATAGTTTTAGAAGTTATTCTAATAATGGGTTTATTAAATGTTCTTTCTAAATATCTACTAGTATTAATCTGTTAAATAGAGATTTTCTACACTATTATATTGGGAAATTATCTATTCGATACAGGTTTCTTTATAGTTTAGAGCTATACACTCAAAGCATGATTTTGCTGTGAAAGAATTTATATAGTATGTACGTACTTGAATAGTACTATAATTATTTGCTTATCTATTGGCTTTAGTGAACAAAAAGTAACTTTGTAAAAAACCCTAGTTGTTTTATAATTTCTTGTTAATTTTAAACTGATTTTATATGTAGCCTATTATTAAACAATTAAATTTGAATAAAATCTTATTTAACAATTTTAATATCATTTAATAGAACTAGGTTTAGAAGAATACGAAGATAATAAATTAGTTCTTAATACTGTACATGACTTAATGCAATTTTTTAATCAATCAAATTGCAAATATCGTTCAAAATCTAAATCAAAAGATTTAAGAACATGCTATGAAAAAGTAAACTTTAAAAATTTTTTTGAAAGACATTTACAAATACGTGCTCTAGAAAAATCCGAACTTGATTTATTCTTAAAAGCACAATTAATGGCATTTGAAATAACAAATATTAAATTAAAAGAAGCTTAAAAAGAAAAACATTATTTTAGATATGCCTATAATTCATCCTATCCACTTTGTAAACTTGCTTTTTTAAAGCTTTATAGTATAAATGAATATACTCTTTCAACATTACAAGATCATTTATATAGTAAAGGATTAGTAGAACGAATTCATGGTAATACTGGACGTGCAGCTAAAAGAGAAAGTAAAGTATTTCTTGATTTAAGTGTTACTTTTCCTATAAAAAAATATTTAAAACAGTATGCGATTATTCATGGACTTCCATCTCCAATGTGTCATAAAAATGAATCAGAACCTTTTATTTATTTATCAACAGGCAAAACATATACTTCTGTTTATAATGAATTTAAAGAACATTTTTATAGCGAATATAGAGATACTAAAAACATTATATCATATTTTACATTTAGAAGGCTTTGGCATGAAATGAGGGCACATCTTAAGTTTCAACCACCTGCAAGTGACTTATGTGAAGTTTGTGAAACTTTAAAAGCCAAATTAATTGTAGCAAAATCTAATGTAGACGAATATGAAGAAATTAAAAATCAATATGAACAACATTATAAAGCTGCTGAAAAAGAAAGAGAACATTATAATAATAATATAAATGAAAGTACCAATAATTTATCTGTCGCACATGTATGTTATGATTGGGCACAAAGTCTATCAATTCCATATTCACCGCAACAAATAGGATCAATATATTTTAAAAGCTATTTTCTATATATTTATTTGGTACGTGCAAAACTGAAGGTGGTCAAAACTTTCAATTAAATTTTATAATAGGTGAAGATGAAATTCCTGAAGGTACATCAAAAGGTTCTAATACTACGCTTAATATGGTATATCATTTTCTTCAAAAATTTGCACGAACTGGAAAAAAAAATTACATATAACCTGCGATAACTGTAGCGGCCAAAACAAAAATAATTTATCTCTTTTTTTTTATTCTTGGTTATCAATGCTAGGCTGGTATGATGAAATTACTATAAACTTTATGATTCTGGGTCATACAAAGTTTATATGTGATTCATTTTTTGGTCAAATAAAAAAAAAATATAGGAATCAAAAAGTTAATACTATGAATGATGTTGAAATGATTATTAATAATTCAGCAAAAGGAAACCAGGCAATTCAATATAATAACGGTTTGGGTTGGACCTGGTATAACTTTGCTTTATTATTTAAAAACTATTTTACAAATTTTCCTCATATAACACAATATTAACATTTTAGATTTAGTAACTTATCTATGGATATTGGAAAGGTTTATGCGTCAAAGGAATCAGGTGGAATAGAAGTAGCTTTTCAATTACTAACAGATAAAGATTTTAATATAAATACCCCATTAGAAACTGTGCGTACAAAACAATTAACTGATGAAAGAAAACACTATTTATATACAAAGATTAGACAATATGTAGAGGATCCGTTCAAGGACTTATATTGTATGAACCCAGTTGAAGCTAAAAATAAGAACAAATAAAATTAATTATTTGTTTAAATAATTATTTTAATATTAATACGTATAAAAAAATTATATACTGGTACCCAGTGATTATTTTTCACTGTGCGGACTGTGCGTAGCACACAGAAACAAAATTTTGCGCACACTTTTTTTTGAATAGATGTGCGCATACCGCACAAAAAAAAATTGACGTTTTGTAAGTAGTGCGCACAGTTGCAAATAGTTTCTTGTAGTTTTTTTTCTATTTGCCGCACAGAAAAAGTCTATAAATTGTGCGGCATCCGCACAGTAAATTTTACTTGAAAAATTAACACTGCTAGTACCTATTAAATTATAGTAAAATGACGTAGTAAATATAATAAATAGCAAAGTGTATAATAATAAAATAGTAACTGGATAAATGAATAGCAGCGATAATAAGATATATGAAGCAGTAATAAAAAAATAAAAGCAATATTGATAGAACGATAATCAGCAGTAGTTCAAAAAGTAAAAAAAAATAGGTAAGTTATTCAATATATAATTATATAAAAAATAAAATAAAATAAAGAATAAATTATACATACCTGCTGTATAAAGAAAAAAAATAAAGTTTTTGTTATGCTTGAGTTACGCTAAAAGAAGTTTATAACTTACCAAATTCAGCACCTGACAAATCTGCCCAGTGCAGCAATGTCAGTAAAAGATACTTTAATTGAATCTAAATTATCATCTGTTACTAATCAAATTAAATCCAGTAAATTATAAATTTAAAACTTTATATCACTTATAATTGAAAGATTTATTTCTAATATTATTATTGTAACTTTGAACTTCGTCTTTTTGAAATTGAAAGAAAAATAATAAAGTAGAGGTAAGTAGTATTATTGATCAAATACAAAAATTACGATAATAATAATAATAAAAGATACAAGTTACAGAGAACTCTTAATATGGCATAGATTAATCAAAATTAAAATCTCGATATAGCAAAGTTAAACTCAAAAGCCAGTCTATGTAAAGTCTTCCCATATAGTGAATTTTTTTTTAACAATGAAACGGAATTATTATCGTTATGAATGACTCATGATTATACGTATGATAATCATTAATCACGTGATTAATGTATATCATTCTATTTTTAGATTTTCAGAAGAATCTCTGTTAAAAAATCCGAGATGAAATAACTTAATTCTATACTATAACAATATGTTATAAAAATAACACCAAACAAAGTTCTTATATTATACAATAAGATAAATATAAAAACTTAATTTTGGCCAGAGGAACCTCGGAACTCTATTTTCCTAGCAAAGACCCCATATCACTTTCACTTCTATTAACCTTTTTATTTCTAAATTGAACCAGGTAAGTTGGTCCTTTGTCAATGGGTATTGTGGTAGATTCAATTGTATGGTAAGTTCTAGTAGGCCTTTTAAAAATAATGAAACATCCTCTTTCAACTATTTGATAACTAGACTCAAGGCTTAGATTTTTTCCTTCTAGTAACAAACATGTTTTTCCAAGTGAATACGTTTTGTGATCTGTATTTTCTGCTGGGCCCAGGTGTATTCATTTATATCTAGTATGGTCTGATAGTTTGCTAAACTGGTCTTTGTAGGTTGTATATCCTCTCGATTTATATGCAGTCTGATAATTATGTTGCTGGGTTAGAACTCTACTTGGCTCAGAGGGTAATACTTTGCAAAGTGGCCATAGCTATACAGCTATAGTACTTCTTTGATAGTAATGATAATGCGTAATCATAAGCATAGTAGTTTTGATGAAAAAGCTTGTTCATATTCTGAGAACCCTCTTGATAGCTACCTTTGTAGCCCACCTGACTGCCACCTTGATAATTATATCCCCAACGTTGATATCCTGAAGATTTGGACAGACCAAAGAATCTTTGCTTCTTGTTTTTCCTTACATCAACTAATGTCTTTGCCTTCTCAATTAGGCTGTCCTTCACTTTTAACTAGTTATCTTGTGTATCAGTTAGGGCTGAGGCAACATTCCAACCAAACCCTTCAGCTACCCTTAAGGTAAATATTCTGTCCTCTACTAATTTCTTAGCAGCACCAAAGTGACTTGTTACATCATTAACAGTTCCAGAATCCATGGCTAGGTCAAGTTCCCTTCCAACTTGTCGCAGTATATTGTATTCATGTTGGTTACGTTGCTTCTTAAACTTATGTTTTGGCCAAGCTTCCTTAATATCTGCTTTATTACGTGACTTTTGAACCTGATTCGCCATTTGGTTTAATTTTTCATCAAAACTTAACATGATTTTCTCCAGTTTCTGAAAGCTTAATTTAAATCTTCCAAACAACAGGTCAGGATTTTTGTCCTCTGCGTCATGTGATTTACATTTTTTTAGTTCATTTGTTTGTGGCTAGTCACCATATGTTTCTCCAGCATCTTGATAATAGGGTAATGGTGACATTACATCCAATAGGTTAGACTTCCGAAACAATTCTCTTAATGCTTGTGTTTCAGGATTTAACACTTCAGTGGTCTCGTTAGGATAATCAGAAATTACCAATTCATCATCAATATCTACATGCCGATTATTAGCATTTTTCTCATGGGAAACATAATCTTGAAAATCCTTCAATCTTTGTACAAGATCTGTTTTGTTTCCTTCTGTTGACAAGCCTAAACTATGGCAAATGCCAGACAAGTCATTCTTTGATATGTTTGAATCCGTCATTGTAACCACAACAATGCTCTTCACTATAAAGCCAGATAACAATCGGGCAGTGAAATAAAGAAGCACTGGGAATTCACTTACGCCCAACTTACCATAAAATACCCAAACATAACTTACCATAAAATGCCCAAACATAACTTACCATAAAATACCCAAACATAACTTACCATAAAGTAACCAAAACTGGTTGGTCACATGGATCATCCTCACGATAATACCCTTGCATGACTATCGTCAATGCAAGGGTCATAATTTCTGAATTTGGCGGTGGCACATAGATGCACGCGGAGGCTACTGTTCAGCCTGTATAGTCCAGTGTTAACCGATGAGATTGGCCATAACATTTTTTTCGATATGACCTTGGTATATAATCATGACTTTTTGGTCATAAGTCATATCGGTCATATCAAATATTAGTAAAAAATTTTTTTACTATGAATCCTAAACAGGAGGAACCGTCGATGTTACACAACTAATCCTTCAACATCGGGTTAAGGATTAATTGTGCAACATCGACAGTTCCTCCTGTTTGAATCTTACTATCATAAAGTCATATCAACCTAGGTCATTTAAGGTTATCGACCAACACTGGTATAGTTTGCACTACATGTAGGGATGGCAAATGCTTTTTATTACGTAATTAGGCGAGACCAACTTAATTCTGTGTTTTACATTACCCCCAGCGTCCCCCCTCTCCCTCATAGTAAAAAAAATTAATAAATACATATAGGGATCTGTGCTATTTCGGAAAATTTTTATATAGTCACGGAACAATTCGGAAAAATTTTTTTCGAAAAAAATTTTTTGAAAATTTTACTATGTAAATCACAAATCCCCTCCCCCCGGAGGGGGAGAGGGGGTAATGTAAAACACAGAAACAAGTTGGTCTTGCCTTAAAAACATGTGAAGATAAATTAAATGCAGGCGAGCATTATTTAAATCAGTTTTCGGGCTTTAATTATCGCATATGAAAAATGCTTTAACCTGTTTTTTCACCATCCCTAACTATATACTAAGAATACTAGCCTCAAAATATAAAAATTATTTGTATTTAAAATGGTATATATTTCAATATTTAAAATGAATATAATGCTCTTCTAACTACATGAATATTCTCTGTCGGGCATCTTTTTAATACAATGAAGTCATTCAACCCAGTATTTTAGAATTATGCCAGGGCCTGAATTATAAAAATTACACTGCGTGGCCTCTAAAAAAATTTGCACAGATGCGCAGTAGCCCACTTCTACAAGTAATAAATATAGTAACAAGTAATAAATATAGTATAACGAATAAATTTTTCTTTAGTGCTGCCTTATTATTATTATGATTTCATATGTACGTGCATATCCGTTTGGTAACTTCGTACATACTATTTTGTAAATATTTACTTGTTATTGGTCATGTTGTTGATGATAACTGATTATTCACTAGGATGCTGAGATATAACGGTGGCCAAGGGCCACCGTTATGACGTAGCATCCGCTGTGAATAAATCAGCTATTGTCATTAACAACGTGACCAATTAACTTGGTTATTGTATACTTCTGACGTAAGCACCTAGCCATTTTCTGCATCTTGTTGGGTTATTTTTAAACGTGATAAACAAATTTCGCTCACCTCCGATAGGAGGTGAGCAAAGTTTGTGTATCATGTTTAGAAGTGACCCAATAACATGCATGAAAATGGCTAAGTACTCACATAAGAAGTATACAATAATTAATCATTTATTTTATTATGCATCACGTAAAC